GACCACTACCTCTTTGAGGCTCAACAGATCTCAGTTATCCTTCAGGAGGGCGCCCCGCGCCTACTGGGTTTTGTCTTTTCGCCCCGACAGACCAGAAGACTATTGAGGAGCGAAACGTCGGTTTGATGAAACTTGAGGCACCTTGCGCATTGTACAACTAGTCCGAAGGTGACTGGTGTCTCCACAGACAAAACACGGTCGGGTGTTTAAACACTGCTCGACAGCTCGGAGATCTTCCTCCTCTTTTAAGCATATCTAAGGTCCACTTGCTCAGGCCCGCTCGAAGCGCTGCTAGAGTCTGCATTACAACCAAGTCTTGCCGACATATAGTTGAATATGGCATTCCATGCCACATTTAATGCTTCTTCAAATGAGGACGAATGCACACGGAAGACCGTTATTCTGTCAACGCCAGTGCGGAGGCTCCGAAAAAGACGGACACTGTGACCTCCTCGGAAAGGATCGGCTACCATACCCGCAATGAGAGTACGCAACCCTTGGATAAACTCCACCAATTTCTGGTTGCCCTGTCTGGCGGCAATGCAACGCGATCGCACACGATATGCCCGGTTCGGTGGCGAGAACACTCGTAACAGCCGCAGCTTCAGCTCAGACCAGGAGGGTAATGCCACTTCGACCGAAGTGGCACATTTCAGTGTCTATTCTCTCGCTCAACCATCGAGCATGGAGTTAGCTAGCGCCGCGCGCTGTTGCTCGTACTGGAGTTTGCGGACGCCCTGTTTATCCCAACCTCTCTCACCCAGAGCAGGAGATTCTATCCATCCCTGCCCTCGAAAGTACGAGAGCGATTCGTGTCAGGGGGAGTCATCCGATTCACAAACGCAGTAGCCACTGATATATTCTGTTGTCAAAAGGCCTCTATGCGCGAGCTTCTCGCTTTAGATCCTTGGGAATCAAAATTTCTTATGCCCTCAGGGCCAGCAGGGCCAGCAGCTTTAAGCTCGACTTGTATGCTCTGAGGCAAATAGGAGAGCCGCTCCATCCTCACAGAGGGTCAGTCGTAACGACTCAGATGTATAATGACTACAAGTGTTACCAAGTTCAGCAAGGCTGCCGTAGCTTGTTCGCGAAGAGGAAGCTTAGTTAATGTCGGCGACCTTCGTTCTATACTTAAGACCAGTGCGAGTGTAACGGGTCACAATATGATTTTCCAAGAGTAACTACAACCTTACTTAAGGCCTATTAGCTCATCCTTTCAAATTGTGGACAGTATTTCTGGGTTTTATCTGCGGCAAAGCCGCCTATAGCTATTTCTATAGGTTTTCTATCTATATAGTAAAACCTAATTAGATGTATAACGACTGGCTGTTCCAGCCACATATTTATTTCATATTTAAGCGTAGCCACACCATTGTGTGGTCACACCATCTTCTGTAACCCACATCCTTGTATGGTCACGTTTTTCCATCATTGTTATCATAAGGCAAGTACATTATCGCAAACTGGCTGCATGCTTAATCAACCTGGCATCAGGGTCGATCATTTCGTCGGAAAAAAAGCCTAGTGATGTCAATGTGATCCCTTAAAGCCATCATGATAGTTGAGGATGGAGGCGCTTATCACTCTGCCGGTACATGCAAAACTTTTACTTACTGACATGTCGCTTGCTTTGGAGTTTATCAAATATTCCAGAATGATATTTGTAATGTCAACTATGAAGCGATAGCGACACGTGGACAAGTATAGCTGGGTATGATAATGATTGTCGCGTGTGAAAAAAGCAGATACGCTCGTGGAATTTCGTGGACGCAAAAGAGTCACCCATTGTAATTTCTCACGCTAATTTGCACCAGACGACTGCACCGCCGACGCTCTCAAATTATCCGAATTTGTCATGAATGTCGTCATCCAGATAACTTAAAATATTATCGCAATTGTGTCTGACGGATAAGTGGTTCGTCAGCCATCAGCTAATTTGGATTTTAGTATGCTTGGTTTAGCATGATTTGCGGAATCGCAATCGACATTTTTCGAGAGGTACGTATGTTAAGCTCGAATATTCGGTATAGTGTCGGTAAAAATGACGCGAGTGCTGTCGTTGTAAAAAATGCTCACAGATTGTGTATGGCTTGCAAAATCAAAGATCATTTTACCAAATCACACCTTCTTATAACAATAAGAGGATTATTATGTTGGCGAAATGAGATTTCCAGCTCAAACCACTAATTGAAGTAGGAGTTGTGCGTCTCTCTTTCTCGACCATCATCTATACAAACTTCTGTTGCCTGCCAAAATAACGTCACTATGGCGACTGCCTAAAGAAGCGTCACATCCTCCTCCCTGAGTTTTAAATAATTGACACAGTATGTGATGCCAAATCAGCGGCTCAAACTTTATTAGCATATATTAAAAGACGTGCGTCACGGATGGGCTGCATGCACGGCATTAATCAGAGCATTTTCTAGTCAGTGTTTGGCGCTGCAATGTCAACATCTAGGTTTTTTTATCAGTCTACACAAGTTCTTGAAGGACTCAGATGTGCAATTATTTTACCGTATTTCCACATGTTTTATTTCTAATTTGGGCTTTTAAAGACGATCGGAAAAGCTTAGCGAAGCACAGAATATTTAGCGACGACGGATGCAAAGAAATGTTAGCAATCGTCACGGCACAAAGTTCCTGCACTTCTTGAGGCTTATCACACGTGAGCATCTCAACAATATATACAAGCACTCGAGTGTGAACAAGCGGACCAAGGTTTTTGAAATTCCGAAAAATTGATCAGTGTAGTTGCCAAGTACTTGCGTATACTTCTAGAATTGGTACTGTCTTTTTGTCGTCTCTGTAGTGCTTTAGTATTTTAATTGCACTGTCCATAGTCGTCGTCTCTCGAAACCTTTGCGCATGTCCAAGAAGTTGGAGTATGCGACTTGGACGACAAATTTATACCCCCGAAACTGCCCCAGTATCTTTTGCACGTTAAATGCGGGCCCAAAGACGGATTCCTATCCCTCTCGTCGAGAAGCCGACTAGTGACTGAGCACCCATTCGACTAAAGAGTTGGAGCCACCACGCCATTGGTAAAAGTATTCGTGAAGATCAAGATAGCTGTATATTCGTTTTCTGTTGTGTTTAGAGCTGAAAGACTTATCAGATTAGGGAGGTTAAAGCCTATTGGCTATGATATCAAATGTCACTTCACCTTTCCTCCCTTCTACCAAAAATTAACGGCCCACTGATAGCGACCAATACTTGTCAGTTGATCTAAGCCTTCTTCGTCAAGTGTGTGCTCACGGACGGGCAACCCCCGTTACACGATCTTTGTCTATAGAAAAATTACAGCATCTCATCGAGTCGTTCAAACTGGGCACGCATCGCGCAGGGTAAAGGAGATTTATTTACAAAGAGCAAATTCTTTCCTTCGGCGTCAAGAGCGTCAGCGGGACCTGTGCTGGTCTGTATGATGCTTGAGATAAAGGTCTAGACGGAAAGAACCTTATTTCTTCACATGCAACATTTGTTGACATACTTAGGCTCTACATCGACTTGCATCACTTTCAGTTTATACTGGATCTGATGCTCGTTTAAGAAAGATTTTGGCTCAGTCGGTAAAATTTACCTGCAGCTAGGAGTGCTGGGAAAGTAACGTTGCCAGCAGCAAGATCCGGGTCGAGAAAGTAGCGAATTTGCGATATTTGGAAATTCCGTTGAATAGTCATCACAATTGACAAGAACCATATTTGAAAATTCAAGGGTAATAATTTGAAATTCACATTAATATAATTGGTTTTTACTCGTGATATACCATTTGTTAGAAGGTTTTATTTATCTGTTCGACTA